AGTTCTAGTTCTAGTTCTAGTTCTAGTTCTAGTTCTAGTTCTACTACTACTTCTGCTTCTGCTTCTACTACTGCTGCTACTACTGCTGCTGCTACTACTACTACTACTTCTACTACTACTACTTCTACTTCTTCTTCCACTACTGCTACTACGACGACGACGACGACGACGATACCACCACCACCACCACCACCACCATCACCACCACCACCACCACCACCGTCGTCATAAATGATGATTAGCATTCCGATGATCCTTTCTGTTCTCACCAGCATTGCTACCATGATCTTATTCTTTCCGCGCCTAAAGGCAGCACACTTTTCGTGCGCAGCAAAGCCCTGGCCTGGCCGAGGTTGGTCCGATCCTTCGGAGCTTGAACTGTTCAGGGTTTGGGGTTTGCGGTTTAGGGTTTAGGGTTTAGGGTTGAGGGTTTAGGGAGATTGCATGTGCTGCAGGGTTTGAAAGTCCTTTGTGCTTGGGTTGCGAGTTGAGGATGATGCAAGCCGTTTCAAACCGTGAGCACGGGCTTCCATGGACCAGCATTGAATTTCCTCGTGCTCGCTGTAATGTTGATAGGTATTCTCACCCTTCTACAGTTTCATTCAAGTCATCCCTGGCACTACGCTCATGTTTATCACTCGCATGACAACAGTGCTATTACACACGTCACCGGCTTTCCTTCACCTGCCCGCATCTCCTCGCTACCGGTCGGGCCCAGGAAGAAGTTGAGGCAGACACCATTCGATGTTCGAAGCCGTCAAGCACGGAGCGGGCGTGAAGACCAGAGGCAAAGATGTCCATGATCTCCTTCCGATTCTGACGCTTCTTGCGAACAAGGCGGCCATCATGAGGCATGATATCGCAAGTGCCCAGAGTTGTCATGTCGTCATATGCTTTCCTAGAGGCGGAAGCAGAAAAGGCGGTGCGCCACAGAGGGGGGTCAACCTTCCTGCCCCTGCAGCCACAGCAACGTGCTTACGAGAGCCCCACGGCCTGGACCTCCAAAGAACCGAGGAGAAGTCTCGGACATCCCTTCTCCCAGGCCAGCTGCCTCTAGGTTGCAGCTTGCCGACCTAACCTCCGAAACCCCGAAACCCCGACACTCGAAACCCCTCAAAACCCCAAAAACCCCCCGGGGGCCCCAGACCCCCAAAATGAATCTCTACAGAAACCCTCACTTAAACCCCCCAACCCTAAACCCCTAAACCCCCAAACCCCAAAACCCTAAACCCCCAAACCTCAAAAAGAAAGCCCCGACCCGGGCTTCCCCTGCTCCTTCAGCTTCGCGTCCAGCTTTTCGTCATCGAGCTCCAGGGGCCCGGCCGGTCCTTCCACGAGGGACGCCTGAGGCAAGGACGGAGGCCAAAAGGGAGCTTTGGTTCAGAGGCCTTATAAGGGGCTTCCGGAGGGATTTGGGTTGCTTCTTCTATCTTTTGGGGTTTGGGTTTAAGTTTAGTGAGTCAGGTGTTGTGTGTTTAGACTAGATGGAATGCCTGAAAGGGGGCAGACATCAAGAGGGCGTCCGGTGGGCGGGTTTAGGGCTCAAGTTGTCTTGATGTTTTGGGGTTTTGATCCGGAATTGATGGGGATTTGAGACTCGGGTTTTGGGGCTTGAGTGGGCTTGAAGAACCCTAAACCCTAAACCCTTTCGGTTGGAAGTCTTGAAGCTGCCATGTTGGCGTCAGCCTTTCGCCTATCTGAAGCCTCCACGCCCTCGCCACTCCCTTAGTTTTGACCCTCAAACCCCAAGCCCTACCCAGAGAACCCAATACCCCTTAATTAAGGAATATACCTTAAGTTATGGGGTTCTTTATCTTATGATTTAAGGTATATTCCTGGTTCTCTGCGTAGACCCCAAAAAGGACCCTTCTTTGTCTATATCCGCAACCGCCAAGGCCCAGAGTACAGTCTCGAGCCTGGCCTTGCGGCCTTCTCTTTCTGGTTTTGGGCGGGCCATAACACTTGTATTCACATATTCATTACACTATGATAATGATAGCTATAGATATAGATAATGATAAGTTTTATTACTATTATCGATACTGTAACAATAATGATAATGACAATTATAGCTAATAATAAGAACAATAATATTAATAATAATAATAATAATAATAATAATAATAATAATAATAATGCTCATTCTTTAAAATAGTCTGGCTCTCAGCTCGCCTGGCACAGGGAGCGGAGCTCCGGTGAGTAGGAGCTCTGCCTGTCAGAGCGAAGACCCTCTCCTAAACCCTAAACCCTAAACCTAAACCCTCTTTGCTTGGGGCTCCAAGAGGGCCGTTGTGGAAGGCTCTGCCAGGGCATATGGATTCAGGGTTTAGGGTTTAGGGTTTAGGGGTTTCGAGTTTAGGGTTTAGGGTTTAGGGTCTAGGGTTTAGGATTTCGGTTTTAGGGTCTAGGGTCTAGGGTTTAGGGTTTAGGGTCTAGGGTTTAGGGTTTAGGGTATGGGAGTCTGGAACCGGTGTTCGGGGCTTCAGTGTTTTGGGCTTGAACGGCTCGGTCTAGGGCGGTTCTGATCGACAAGTGCGTTTCATTGAAACAGTAGGGATTTAGTGCCCTAGCAGTGAAGCAAAAGCAAGACCCTGAAACTTGAAAGGACCTCTGTAAATGATATGGCACAAACCCCTGAAACCCTGTGAAGCTCTGTAGCTGACGCAACTTGAAAGAACTGGCACCTGACGTCTGCAGCCAGATGCTTCACCATCTGCACACCCCAGCAGAAATCGCTGGTTGGCCTGATCAAGATTTTGAGGTGTAGAATTCATCTAGTCCCAACGTGGACACAGTTCTGAGTCCCCCGGCACAGTTATCGTGATGTGCAGGGACGGCTCAGTTCCAGTTGCCGCTTCGTGCAGCACGCCTCTAGGAATGTAGAGGACCTCATAGGCCGGCACTGCGACAGCGATACCATCACTTCTTGCAGTTGCTGCTCGACATAGCACCACGACTACAGCTAGTGCTTCGACCAAGACGGCGACAACGACGATGAGGGACACCACCTACTGCGACTGCGACTGCGACCGCTGGCTTACATGTCAGGACCGCTAGTACATTATGAGTTCTCAGGCATCACTACAACTATACTGCGTCACAGCTGCATCATGCGGCTGAATTGTAAAGTCCATCTGTGCCGGCCCAATCAACTCAGTTGGGACTGCTTGTTCTTTGCCAAGCATTTCCTGGCACCGGGCAGCAAACAAACAAACTCTTGACCCTGCACTTGCTGGAGACTGTGCCACGAACCGCTCACAGGCATCTTGTCTTCTGCGAGATAAAGTCGACCCCGAAAACCAAACAAACCCTGGTGAAAATCGGTATTGTCTACGTGCGTGCAGAAGGCCACGCTCGCCCAGGAATCACAGGCCTCTGTGTAAGGCAGCTTCGTTGGAGCGTTGTAGAGCGTCCACCGCTTGCTGCCCCAGACTTGGAGAAGGATCACGTCCTCGTCTCAATAATTACCAGACAGGGTCTGAGTTCAGGAATCGCCACGGCTTGACGGCTTGACGGCTGAGCAGAGTTGAAAGAAAGCTGCTGAGCGGCCTGATCGTCCGTGTGGACACGGACAGCCTGACACAAGCTTTGGGACGACCACCCTCAAGCGAGCTCTTTGACTATTGCCGTCAAAACCAGCACAATCCTATGGGATCAAGTCATCCTGCATTTTCGAACTGGAATCTCCGACCCTAAACTTCGTGGACCCCTACGATGTCATGCCAACCCTCCAGCCTGGGAATCGGGCGGCGTCAGATACACGACAGCAAAGACGTGGTGGAAGTGTTTCGCAGATAAGCCTCCAGAATGCTGTTCCGATTTCACCCACCGGGAGTGGTCCAGCGCAAGCAAGACGAGCAGCAAGAAAAGGCCACACTATGTGGAACTACCATTGCTGCTACTGGCAGTTGTAGTGTTAGCTGTGCTTGCAAGGCAACTGTCTTGCGGTCCAACCAGCCCAGCGCAAGCAGCAATCAAAGCAGCAGCTACAGGTAAACCTATGGTCCCCACAGTGCCCACGCCCCTGCTGGAATTGCAGTAACCGTGCCTTTGCACAGCTCGTAGAGAACTCTGCTATGACGATCCGCCTGCGGATTCAACACATGTCTAATGCACTGCAAGCAGCCCTCAGAAACTTGTGCTAAGATGCGGCGAATCTCCAGAAAGGAAGTTGCAACTCCAAAGCTCTTTGCCGCACGAAAGCATTCTGGCTTGCAAGTGTTGCCCTTGCTTTTGTCAGCTGTAGCCTGGTTGATCACCATGGAGTATCCCGCCAAGTAGGAGTGCCCTCAGTTCGGCATTGACGACTCCCTGCATCGCAGGTTGAACGGTCAGTTGAAAGCACACCAACCCTGCCGGGCTCTGCGCACGGAGTTGGCAATTCGCTGGTCTCGTTGTTCTTGAACATTTTGAGGTTGCTGCCTTCCAGATGTGCACACTGATCGACATCAATGCTGCAGCCTCCGGTATACTGCAACTTTGCAATAGGAGCTCTGCTGAAGCATGACTTAAACGGAGCCCTGAAGCCACACACTTTGGCACGGCACGGATGACTGCGACGAGCGACCGACAGGACCAAATGACGACAGATTGCGGCAACCATGGAGAATCACTGAAGGCCAATGATAGGAACAACAGCTTCTTTGGGGTGCTTTTGGCTGGCCTTTGCGCAAGGTACACCAAGCTGATCAGGCTTGGCTTCCCTCTCTGGTGCACAGCTTCGTTGGGTACGGTAGCATCAGAGAGCCGTACCCCCCTGCTTTGAAGAAACAGTTCACTGGCAGCGGTCGCCATGTACATACATACCACAAACTCAGACTGGCACATAGGCGAGCCCGACCATGATCGCAACGTAGAGAACAGCAGTCAAGACGAGAAGAATGAAGACTGTGAGGGGCCAAAACGACCCTGCACAGACTCTGACCCCAACGACGGTGGCAACGGAAGCCGACGATGCAGATGACAGCGGCGGCGACCATGGCCACCAACATCAGCACAAGCACAGCAGGCACCATCAGAGCTGATTGCTACCATCGATGCTGCTTCCGATGCAACATCATCTATAACCCTGATTGAGGAAGTCGTTGCCGCGATCAGGGAGACTCGATGACAGTAGTCGTCACCGCTGTCGTCGTTCTAGACTAGCAGCAGTGAGATGCAGAATGACACCTGGTATGTTCTCTCGCTGCAAGCAATCATGATGTCCAACAGCTCGTGGAAACAAAGGGTCTGACCACGCCTGCCGCGCTACTCACAGCGGATGCCACTTCGTCTGCCAAAAGTGCTTCCGGAAGCCGGTTGGCACCTCAGGGCTAAAGCAATTTCGGCAGTATGATCTGCGGATATCTGCGGATAGTGACCCCTGGGCATCGATGTGTTGAGTCAAGTTGACGTCACCGGCATGCTGGCAAACCTTCAGGGGAGCCCCTTGTGGCGCCAACAACTTAGGCACCGGCTACGCCCGCGCTCGGCAGCCCGGTAGTGCAGCGGCTTTTTTTCCCAGAACTCCTGCTTTCTGCATGCGCCCGATACATGTACTAAAATTACTAAACTAGTTTAAGACTTTCGCATCGGTCCTGGAAAAAGGAGTCGTTCAAGATCTCCTTCCAAGTTTTGGCTGAAAACATCTTGAAAGCTGCCCAGGTGGCTGCAGAAGCTCGGCTGTCCTTGCATAGGCTTTCTGCAGCATCCCTGCCGGATGGTGCTTCAATCCGCTGGCCAGTCCCGGTCTTTGTTCCCATCGCGATGCACTAAGAAAGCAGCGTCTTCCGGATGTATCTGACGTGGATGCTTTGCTGCCAACATGTCTCTGGAAGAGGTTGAAGCTCAGATTTAAGGAGCCTGGATCTGGCGACTCATACCTAGGAATCTCCTTTGTGCTGGGCGACGAGGATGGTACAGTGTGGTACAGTCTTGCTCGCAGGAGCTGAAATGCTGCTTGCAGCTGTGCTTTGTGTCTGCAGGGACAAGCAGAGGAAACGCTGCAGCAACTGGCACAGCTTCACGTTCACATCACGCCGGTCGGAAGCTACGCGAGCCTGGCGCCTCAACCAGCTGCTTGAAAGCGGGCTTACGAGGTGCTGGGAAGTGTGGGCTCTCGCATGTCATGGCACCCCAAATGGCAGGGGCTCACAATAGTGATTGCCAATTACCGCCAGGCCCAGAAGGCACCTTGCCTTTGCACGGAGCAGATATCTGAAATGCGTCCATGGCAATCTGGCCAGAGCCACAGCCTCGCCGAGGTTCTCATCTCTCGGATAGAAGGGCTCAGGGTCTCAAATTTGCGGTTTCAGGATTTTGGAACTTCGGGTTTTCAGTTTCGGGGTATCGGGTATTCCGGTTTTGGGGTTGAGGATTTGGGGTTTATGTTTGAGCATTCATGGTTCCGGTGGGTTTAGTTTGGCAGCCGGTGGAGGGCAGAAGCTCTCCGTTTCAAGGTGTCGAGGAAGTCTACGAACTCTGTATATCTGCGTGCGTGCATGCATGCATGTGTGTGTATGTATGTATGTATGTATGTATGTATGTACGTATGTATGTATGTATGTACGTATGGATGCTTTCATGTACACATGTGTTTATATACATATACATATACATATGCATATACATATACATATACATATACATACAAATATACATATGCAAAACAAATACATATAGATATACATATACACATACATATGCATCTACATATACACATACATACATACATACATACATACATACATACATACATACATATATATATATATATGTATTACATACATACATACATACGTACATACATACATACATACGGACAGACAGACAGACAGACAGACAGACAGACAGACAGACAAACACATACTTATGCACACGTACCGTTACATATATATATATATACATACACACACACATATATATATATATAAATGCGTGTGTGTGTGTGTGTATGCATGTATGTATGTAGGTATGTATATATATATATATATAGAGTGTGTAGCTCAGACAGCTTTAGCAAGGACATCGTCCTTTAAAGAGAAGAAAAACCTGTTGTTATCGGAAACTAAGCTTTTCTACGAAGCCCACAAAATGGGGCCCTGAGGGTGACGCTTTCTGTATTCTTTTTTTGTATATATATATATTTATTTATTTATTTATTATATTTATATTTATATGTATATTTATTTTTATTTATATTTATATTTTATATTTACATTTTTTTATTTAGACTCTGCTGCCAATGCTGTTGCCACCTTTGCAGGCATGCTAACACTGCGTAACATGAAGTAAGACTGATACGTATTGTATTTCAATGGCTATTGAACACTCAAAGTTCGAAACTACTATTTTTTCTCTTATGACGTTCATCGCTACGAACCCTGAAGTTGTTGCGAAGCAGGGTACGGCCCCCCGGGGCTCTCTTACAATTGCCCCTGAACCCCAAACTTTACCCAGGGAACGAAAGACGAAAGTGTGGCACCTTCCTAGCACCCAGCCGACGCCAAGTCCAGACATCTTGGCCTGACAGTTGCTCGGCATTACGACATAGGTGTGCGACAAAACCATGTGCCGCTTCGCGTCTAGTTGATGTGCCCTATTTGTTCAAATCGTGCAATCTGTTTGCCACATTTGTCCAGATGAACTTGCAGCATGAAGTCAGCGAGCAAAGCTGCCGATACCATCTGTTGCATTACCTTGCGAGGCTAGGATGTCGACGGATGAAAACTCATCCTTGGATCTGCTTGGTTGCTGACAGTTGTAAGTCCGCATACTGTATAATTACGCATGTATTTACACATGTGCTGCCCTTCGTACCCGACTGGATCATCGTCGCCACAGCAGTCAATAGCATCCGCACAACACAGAGACAGAAGTGTGCGTGTGTGTATGTATGCAAGATTTTTCCGGATTCCAGAATGTACTACTACACACTTGGAGTCAATACCATGTTGTTTCTGCAACATGAATATGCGTGACATCCTACCACTGTGTCCTCTACACTTATCTTGTTTCCCTGACTTGTTCTGCTCTCAAATGCAGAGGTGGCCCCTTGTCATAGAACGAATGGTGGATTGCTGTCTTATCGACAAAAAAAGCGGTGCAGAGGATGGCCCAGTGCGAGCCCTCTCCGCCGAGGCGCACACCACTGCCGGGAGGGCGTACTAACGGTGAGAGCTCCTGTGCAATCACTACGAAGGACACGAACAGAGCAGGGGCTCCTTCACAAAAGCTGCTCCTGCAAGTGCAGGTCGAGATCCGCGAAATTGCGCATATACTTGTAATTCCGGTCCGCATACCTGACGTGGTCTTGAAAGCTGAGCAGCGCTTAGTTAGTGCTGCTCGCATGGCAGAACACGGAGCTACTACGGGATCTGTAGAAGGATCATCACCATTAGAATCATCGCGATGGGCATAAGTACTAGTAGTTTTCTTTGGTATCACCATCATCATCATCACCATGGCAATGCTCATGAGGAGCAGCAGCAGCAGCGGCAACAACAACGACGACAA